AGCGTGAGCGGCCAGCAGCTGCAGTGAGCGGCCGTCCAGAAGCGGGTGACTGATGTGCCTTGCCCAGGAAGAGCGCAATGATGGTGCCAACTTGAGCCAGTGAAGCAACGTCCTCCACAACTAGACTGAAGAACAAAACGACAGCAACTTGTCTGTTCCCCTCCCCCCAATTCCCCAGCACTGTTCCCATCCCCCCAATTCCCCAATAAAAATCTTAAAAAAAAGAAAAGGTGGAGATGTATGAACTAATTCACAGAATCCATACATTTCTAATGAGTTATATCAAATCTTTCTTGTCCTTGACAACTTGCACTTTAGAATTTTCTACTTATAAAAATATCTCATTAGGTTTCGTCATAGATATGGAAGTACTGGGTTTCTATTTCTTAGATTGTTTGCCTCTAGCATTTACCCCTTCACTAGTAAATTTTTCAGAAGTCCCAAATATGATTTTAATAAGCAAATTATTTGTGTTTGAGTTTTTATAATTATATTAATACAAATTATGAATTTATATACAGTTCCATCTTTCTTGCTCTTCTCTACTAATTTTTTGAGACTAAGTTTCACAGTCTTATATCAAATCTGTCATAAGAAAATGTTATTATCCCTCTCTGTGCCTTGTTAGAGTTATTCCTTTTTACTTCCAAAAATTAGCAATATCACTCCTAAAGAACTTCCAAATGGTTATGCACCTTTGATAAAAAAATGAAACCTTGATATTTCTTGAAGGAAAATATATTAAATAATATTATCTATCCCTAGATTCATTATCATCACAACATTAGTAATAAGAATCTGAGTATATTAAATATATAATCTCAAAGATGCTGCTCTTTAAAAAAAAAAAAAGAAAAATATTTAGTGGATTGGTCAAACATTCAAGCTGAGTTTAATTCAATTTTTATATACCAGATAACGATTGTAAATTATGATTCTGTGTTATAACCACAAGTATTCCTAATCAGTAACATATTGCTTCTTATTTTATAATTAATATATGAAATTATACCCATAATGAACCCATTTTTTTACATTTGTGTCTAGTATTCCCACAAATTTTTGCTTTTTCCTATATTTTAATGTTTTAGTAATTTCCTGCAGTTTGAACTATTTCCTTAATCATATTTTGAATCTTCACTGTTTATTGTGAAGTTAGTATGGAGCTATAGGTAGTGTGCCTGAGAAGCTGCTAATAGGTGATTAGATACCATATTATGTAAGTTGATATCTTCATTAACATTAAGAATACAGTTCTAATAATATGTTCTAAATAATTTATAATGAACACTTTGATTCAGTATTTGCCACATGCTTTGTTATTGTTACAGCACAAAGAGCAACAGCTTCATTTATTTTTAATATCCACTTACTTTTCTATTGGGTTGTCGGAAAAGTCATGTCACATTTTTGCAATGAAAAACATAGAAAAATACATCATGACTTTTCCGACAGCCCAATAAATTGATTTTTTTTAATCTGCAGAAAAGTAGAGAAGACTTACTACATCCATTTTTGTCTTTATTTATCAAACCTAGTTCTCAAAATTTAATTTCTTAAAACACAGGCCATTTCAGTTACTAGACTGAGTACTAGTCAAATTTCTATTTTGTTTCTACATTAGTAAAATTATGACTATGTTGTAATTACATTTACCCCAAATATTACTGTTTATACGTTTACATATGGGAAGACTTTTTAGAAAGGTATTATGAGACTGTAAAGTAGTATCTACCTCTAACCCTTTTTTATAACAAATAAAAATCAAAACAACCAAGCCAAAAAAATAAAGAAAACCCAAAAACATGTTTTAGAGAAAGATCTAGAATAGTAAACACTAAGAGTTTTAACATTGGTTATTCCTGGATAATAATTATTTGTTATTGTTTATCTCTGTTTTCTTGTTTTTCTAGTAAGCATGTATTAAATTTGAATTTTATTATTAAGGATGGATTTTGAAATTTTTGTCTTAAAGAAGATAATCAAACACAATCCATTCCAACAAGGAAACCCTCTTGGTATCAGTGGTATATTAAAAATTAGAAGCGGGCCGGCCGAGTGGCGCGATGGTTAAGAACTGGCTTGGGAAGCCAGAGGGCCCCGGTTCAGATCCCACATATGAGGGCCAGTGACACTGCCCTCTACAGCTAAGATGCTGAACAACAGCTCAACCTGGAGCTGGGCTGCCATGAGTCGCCGGCGACGGCGTAGGCTGCACTCCCTGTGGCAGTGGGTTGCCATGGGCTACCGTGTGTAGCCAGCAGCCAGCGTGAGCGGCCAGCAGCCGCAGTGAGCGGCCGTCCAGAAGCCGGCGACTGATCTGCCTCGCCCGAGAAGAGCACAATGATGGTGCCAACTTGGGCCAGTGAAGCAACGTCCTCCACAACTAGATTGAAGAACAAAACGACAGCAACTTGTCTGTTCCCCTTCCCCCAATTCCCCAGCACTGTTCCCATCCCCCCAATTCCCCAGTAAAAAAATCTTAAAAAAAAAAAAATTAGAAGCATGACACCTGAAATATGTTATGTTTTAAAAAACAAACAAACAGAAATACGAAGAGACAATCAGAGTTCTAAATTCTAATCACAACTAATGATTAGATTCTCTTGTTTTATTTCCTCATCAGGAAAAATGAAAAGGAGAAAATTCCAGATTAAATACATAATAAATTTTTATTGAATTTATGGTATTTGATATTCTCTACCAGAAATTTGATGATAACCCTGAATATTCCACTTAAATGCATAATTATCCATTAACTTTAAGAGCATCAAATTATAACAAGTTTCTAAAATTCGCTGTTTCCTTTTGGAAAATTTGCTACTTGGGTTCTTTATGTTTTTAATATTAATTTTCTTAATGCACACTTTGTGCTGTAATGCTTAAAAGCACTTAGTTATACAGTAATATCACAATGATGACCACCATAGCTATGTCCTGAACTCAATCATTCGTTCCTTTTGGTTTTGTTGTTTGGAGGTTCATTATGCCCTTACTATCCTGGGTAATATCATAAACAATGACTCAATCAAAAAAGGAAGCAGATTTGTATAGAGTCTTGTAGTAATCTAAGTTTAATATTCTTGGAGATATACAAATAATTAGAGGATGCCAAAAATTGAATGTTTTATGTCATACTGAAATACATTTCTAAAAGTATAATTGATGAATCTTCATTTTAAAGAATTCTTAATGTAAAAGTGATCAAACAAGTCTTAAAAAGTCACTTAATTGATTAATTTTTTTTCATTTTTAAGGTATAAAAAATGTTTTATAGGAATGAACATGTACTTACATCTATAATATTAAAGAACTGTAATTTAAAAAATAACCAACTGCAGCGATATTAACCCTACTTTCATTTAGCCTTAGAGTAAATATGTATGGTTTTATATAAATAACTCATCAATTGTCATTTAATTAAAACATCTAACTTGGTACACATTTTGTGTGAGAATTATAAGGCTTAGGACATTTCCACATTAGCATAAACCTTAAAATTTTGAATCAGTCATGAAATTTAAATAAAAAACGAAGCAACAGCTTTTGTTCTGGCAATGAAAATCCTGTGCTTATTCCAAAGACCCTGTGCCTTTCATTACAAGTTAGGGAAGAAAGGGTAAGCTAGCAAACAAAGGAACATAACCTGAAATTATTTGGCAATTAGAGGTCTGAAGTATGAAGAATAGAGTTGGACAGTCACATAACTTGCAATCTCCATATTCAAAAGTATGGTCAGTTTGGGTACTTGTGGAATCTTTCAGTAATTGCAGTAAAATTCAATTAACCAGAATTCTTAGGTAACTTTTAGTGTATATCAGTGAGTTTTGGAGAAAGACATCATGTTCAAAAAAATTTTTGAAAATTTAGTTTCTCTTCACTCCCAATATTTAATTCCTAATGCTGAAAATATTCTTTTTTTCCCCCAACAAATGTATTGAGCACTTTCAATCTATGAGATTAAATAACTAGCTGTGTGATCTTAGGCTAGTTTTCTTTATTTAAAAACTGGTTAGTTATAGTAACCATAAGTTTTCATCAAATTTGGACACTTTTGAAGGGAAAAAAGGGAACTTTTCATATTTGCTTTGGGGACAACAGCAAAATGAGATTGTTCAGGCAAGCCATATCAGAGAGGTTGTGAGGATTAAATGTGACAGTAAAAGTAAAGTATGACAACAGTGTTTTTAGTACAGAAATTATTATTATTCCCTGAAAATGTCTTTAGCCTAAGTTCAAGAAATTATGTTTCATCTATTTCTCTTACAGAGTTTTTGTCAGGCAAAATGTGATGAATCTAAAGAAGTATTTTAACTGTCTTAATTTAACTAAACAAATATTTATTGCCTGCTTACTGTGTGCCAGGTGCTGGGTATATATGTATAAACAAGATAAAGTCTTTGCCTTTGAGAAATCAGTCCAATATTAATATATAATATAAATATGTAATGTAGTATTTCTCAACTGGGGCTACATAAAAGAATCACTGGGGAACTTTTTTTGCAAAAAAGAATACTCCCACTTTGTTGAATTAAATCAGTATCTCTGAGGATTCGCCCAGGCACCAATATTTTTATAAAGTTCCCTGAGTGATTTTGATGGGCAGCAAGAGTGTGAATCTTTGGTTTGGGGGAGAAATAAACAAGCAAAGAAATGGAAAACGATGCAACTATTGAAGCAGGTATGTAGAAGATGCTAAGGAAGCAAAGAGGAGGACGTCCCTTATTATGGGGTAGGAGGAGAAAGTTTATGGAGGAGGTAGATGCCTGAGCAGAATCTCAAAGGATATGTAATAGTTTGCCTAAAATATAGGTGGGAAACGTAATTCCAAAATGAGAGGAAATAAAGTCTACAAATTCATTGTAGGATCTGGCATTGAAGCTTAATGATAGGCAGAAGCCAGATATGAAATGCTTTATATGTTCTAAGAACTTTGAATACACAAATGTATTTATTGCCTTATTTGATACTTTCAGAAACATTTTGTTAATTGATTATATCTTTCCTGGACCTACTATAAAAGGAGTCATTTATATAAAACAATTACAATTTTAAATAACCTCACCTCATAATTATAAAATAGGGAAATATCAGTGAAAACTTGTTTTATATAGAAATAAAAATTTTAAATGTTTTCCTAATATCTATTATACATTAATTGTTGAAAAACAGTAAGATATGCATTTACAAATAACTTAGTAGACTTTATTAAAATAGATAAATTCCTATAAAGGCTTTGTTCATTCATTCATTCATTCATCCATTCAACAAACATTTGAGTGTCTACAGTATACTAAACTCATTAAAAAGGTGGTTGTGAACAAAACAATTTATTTCCTCAAAAACTTTTAGTTGAATATTCAAGTCTTAGTCTGTTTAATAACTGTATCTTCTATAGCTGTTTTTATATTCCATTGTTTGGAATTGAATATTGTTCAGAACAATGTTCAAGCTTTGTGTTGTTGATTCTGCCAATCCATGACAAAGGTTTTACTGAACTGCTACTGCATAGTGATGACAATGGCAGGAATTTTGGGTACATTGAAGTCTTAATGTGAAAGGCAAACTTAAAAAACTTTGAATAACATTCCTTTATGATCTTGCAGCAGGGAAGGCTTTCTTTCTTTCTTTCTTTCTTTTTTTTTTTTTATTAAAGATTTTATTGGGGAATGAAAACAGCCAAGTTGTTCTCCTTGAATCTTAGTTGCGGAGGGCACAGCTAGCTCAGCTCCAAGTCCAGTAGCCATCCAGCTGCCCATCTACCGTTTGCAGCTGCTCAGCTAGCCGTTCGCAGCCTTTCAGCTGAAGGTACCGTGTTCAATCTTAGTTGCGGGTGGGCGTAGCCCACCATCCCATGCGGGAGTCGGACCAGAAACCTTGTTGTTAGGGGCACGCGCTCTCACCAGCTGAGCCATCTTGCCACCTTTTTAGCAGCTCAGAGGCAGCTCAGCTCGGGCACAGCTCACTGACCCATGTGGGAATTGAGCCGGCAACGCTGTTGCTCAGAGCTTGCGCTCTTAACCAACTGAGCCACTCTGCTGGCCTGGGAAGGCTTTCTTAGAAATACTGATAAATATTACTACATTAAAATTTAGAACTTAAGTTCATCAAAAGATTCCATAAAGAAAATTAAAAGGCAAGCCACCAATTCCAAAAAGATGTTTATAACACTTATTATTGATAGATTTTATTGATAAAGGATTTATATGAAGACTATATAAAGAAATCATGTAAATTTACAAGAAGAAAATCCAAAAGAAGAATTGCCCAAAAGACACAAGTATACAGCACATAGAAAAGGAATAGCCCATACACTTATGAAAAAATAATCAGGAAAATAGAACAACTGATGGGATATAAACTTCTACAAACATTTTAGAAATTTTTTGTTATCTTGTAAAATTGAACATGCATATATCCTCTGATTTTTCCATTCCATTTCCTACAAGAAACTCTTACAGACCCACACCAGGGAACATCAAAAGAAATAATATAGTAGCATTGTTTATAATATTCCTGGTTGGCTTAAAAATAGATACCAGTTAAGAAAGCATTCAAGTTCAACCATAACCAATGAATTATCCAAAACCTGAAAACAACCTAAATGACCATTGGTAGGGAAATGGATAGTCACACAGTAAAATATTACACAGTTGTGAAAGTAAATGATCTACAACTAAATAAAATGAATGAATCTTAAAACAATCTTTAGTGTAAAAAGCAAATCAAAGGAGACGCCATACTACATGGTAACATTTTATATAAAGCTCAGAAAGAAGTAAAACTAGATAATATTTTGTTGGAGGTAGATGATAAAATAGTTTTTAAAAACAGGTATTCAACCAAAATAGGTATATAATGGAGAACACAGAGTGATAGAATTGGGAGATAGCACACCAGTAGATTCAGAGTACTGGTAATACTGTAGTTCTTTTTTGGGCAGTGATTTCATATATATTAATTTTTTAAACTCATATGCATTCCACATGTCTTTTTATATGTGCCAAATATTACATAATAGAAAATTTAAGATAGAAAAATATTAAGCAACTGGTCTCCTTAACTGTGTTAAATGATGTTGAGTGACTATTGTTATTGGCATCGTAAAGACATCTAGTATGGAAAGAGTGGTTTCAATGCAATGATGAGTTTAGAAAAATATAGGCGGTAAGGAACTGGAGGCAGTGAATATAAGTAACTCTTGATAAAATTTTCAGTGACAGAGAGAGTAGATTCCAGAGGTTTTTGTTTTGTTTATTTTAAGATGGAAATTCTGAAACATTTTTGTTCACGTCAGGAATGATTCAGAAAGGAAAGTTCTTACAATAATAGCTTTATTTCCTCCAGTAAACCATTATCTATTACCTACCCAATTGTTCATGCCTAAAACTAAGAGTCACCTTTGATCCCTTTCTCTTTTGCTTCTCTCCCACATTGAATCTATCACCAAGTTGAAGTGTCAACTCTAATTTTAAAATAGTTTACCAAATCCATCTAAGTATTTCTCTTCATGTAGCTATCGACCATGTCTAGAGTAAACCACTACAGTAGCTTCCCACCCGTGTATCCAGTGGTCTCCTGTCCATTCCATACTTTTCCTCTATAATTCATTCTCTATACAGCAGATGGAGTGTTATACTCCTACTTTGGAATATTTCAGTGGTTCCCTATCACTTTTGAAATAAAATTTAAACTCCTTACCTAAGTGTACAAGGGCTCTTCATGATTTGGCCTCTGCCTATTTCTTTGACCTCATATCATATCCCTCTTTCCTTTGCTCACTATTTGAGCCACACTGGATTTCTCTCAATTCCTTGAACTTTCTAGATACTTTTCTGCCTCAAACCCTTGACACTTGACATTCCCTCTACATGGAATACTTTTCTTTAGATCTAAAGATAGGGCTGACTCATTTTTGGAATCAGGTCTCTGCTCAAGTGTCACCTCCTCAGATAGGTTTCCCTTATCACTCCAATAGAGTCTTTAATCATATTATTCCATTGTCCTTTTTTAGTTTTCTGCATAACACATAACTATCTGAAATTATAATATTTATCTAGTTTTTACTTAAAGGGTTAGTGTAAGTCTTCCCCACTAAAATGTAAGCTCTATGACAGCAGGAATTTTGTCATTTTTTAAGCAGTATATCCTCAGTCCTTAAAATAGTGCCAGGCACACATAGGTACTCAACAAGTATTTATTCAGTGAATGAATGAGTGAATGAATGGGAAAAGGAAACTCTAGGCTTTGTGTCTTCTTTAATCATGGAAATAATTATATATTTAAATCATGAAAATGAAGATGGTTTCTTTATAAAATAAACACTCTTTTCCCAGAAATCAAAACTTCATAATTTAAGCATAGTTAATTGTTTGGGATTTGAATATAAATTTGTGATATATATATTTAGCTAAATTTATAAATACTTACATATACTTTTAACTTACATTGTAAGTTAATTTATAGAAGGGTAAAACATTGAAAACATTTTTTTATCATTATGAATAAATTTTTTTTATTATCATTAAAATAGTTTTTAGGCCAGTTAGTAAAATTTACTTCGAGAATGTGACACATTTTAAAAGTTCATTTGAAATGTGAAATATATATTTTTTTAATGCCAAAAATAGTATTATACTAAACAACTCTACTTTTCTCTTTCCCCAGGATATTATTGCTGGATTCCTATATACCATTGTAATCTTAGCTATCTTCTATCCATTTGTGGACCTGATTGACAACTTCAACCAAACTCACAAATATGCTCCATTAATCATCATTGGGCTTCATTTAGCCTTGGGAATCTTTTCTTTCACTCTTGATACCTGGAGTACATCCCGAGGAGACACAGCTGAGATTCTAGGAAGTGGTGCTGGAATTGCCTGTGGATCTCACTTTACCTATAGCATGGGTCTGATATTAGATCCTCCTCTGGATACACTACCTTTAGTTAGGCCCCCCATTACTGTAACTCTGTTTGGAAAAGCCATATTGCGGATCTTCATAGGGATGGCATTTGTACTAGTAATCAGAGATATAATGAAAAAGATCACGATTCCTTTAGCCTGTAAAATCTTCAATAAACCATGTGACGATATTCGAAAAGCAAGACAGCACATGGAAGTTGAACTTCCCTATCGGTATATTACCTATGGAATGGTTGGTTTCTCTATCACATTTTTGGTTCCTTACATATTTCTCTTTATTGGTATCTCTTGATGGAGAAACATTGTTTATGATAAGAAAGGAGGTATCAGTTACTGATATCTAAAATATATTCTAGTTAAAAGCCAAATCAGAGTTAGGCTTTTGCAGGAATTTAACTTAAATAATTATTTAAGTAAATTCATAAGAGTCGGTGCATTTTATAATTGCACATACAGATATTGTTTTAGGTGAGCTGAGCTATTTCAACACTGAGAAAAAGTTTCCATTTAGAACGTTCATGTAATATTTGGAGAGTTTTGTGCTATTATGGATTCATTATATATAATATATATTAAGGTACATAATATGCAATTATATATCTAATATATGTTATATATAAAATACCTAAGTTTTTTAAACTGCGGGGGTGTATTATAAAATCAATAATAATATGCAAAACAGTTGTGCCTGTGTATTTGGACTTAATACAGGTATGTTTTTATTAACAGATATATTTAATGTTTATTTACTATGGGAGCCATTTCCTAATTGAATTGCAGAATTACTAGATCAGAAGTCACATGCTACCACATATTGATTTACTGCCTCTTTTTACACTGCCATCACCTTTCATGTTACCCATGATGTTGAACATGGGAGGCATTTTTAATGGACCAAATTTTCAGAAAAATTAATTTTTGGATTCCTGTTTTTGTTTTCCAGTTCTGTATACTGTGTTGAATGTACTTTATTTGCAGTTGTTCTGGACATGAGTTTAATAATTCAGGTACTGAATTTTATTGCTTGCTAATTGTGCCTTTCTGTTGCTGTATTGAGAAATGCCATGTATACTGTGATATAAAAATAAGATGCTAACTTAATCTTAAGTTACATGTAATCAGGCAAATATTTTAAAAATATATGTCAAGCTAACAGGACTAGAAGTAAAAACACACTCAATTCTTTCGCCTTTGTTTAGAAACAAATGTGGAATGGGCTAAACTCACTAATTTATTGAGAAACTAAATGAATAAATATTTAAATTTTTCTAGGTATTTTGCTGAGCATTGTTAAATTATAGGATCAAGATTTTTTTTGGTTTTTTTTGTACATTGTCTTGATTGTTTATAGTGCACGTAAGGTGTTGCAGTGAATGGAAATGTAATTGAAATTTTTAGATGGGACAGTGCACATGCTTCATGTGTAAACAAACCATATTCCTAAATGATTTGGAAAGGATTGGATTTAGCAGTTACTTTTTAATACCCACTTATTAGCTACTTATCATAAATTATAAAATCTAAAAGTATCAGTATTTAGATCCTATTATTTTTCAACTTTTATTTTCACAGTGGAAAATTTGGGTGTAGCATTATTCTAGATTCTGTCTGTGCCTTTATATTTTGAAGTGTAATAATAATTAGGTTAACATTGTTTATTTGTAGTATTTCATAAAGAAGAGAATTAACTTTCCATATAAATGAGCATCAGGTATGGAATTACTTTAGTGCAATATCTGTCTTGATTATCCAGAAATATCACTTGAGATGTTTCTATTTTGGGCAGCATAACTATTTGAGCTCATATTTTTATAATTCTGATTGAGAATTTAGGGACGTAATAATTTTTACCAGTACTGAATCTGATAATTTTAAATAAAGCAACTAAATTCGGGACCTTTATCTATTAGTTAAAAAGAAACTAAGGCACCTGGGAACATACCGTTACATTGGAAAATGTGCAAAGAACTTTTCTTTCAAAATGTGTTTAATCAAATTTTAGGGACAATATTCTATAATTTGGGTCTATGCTATCTTACTAATTTTTATATCTAGCTTTAAAGATATTTGAAAATACTTAATTTTTTTTGTTATATTATTTTCTGTTCAATGATAGTTCCATGTTAAATGTATTTAAAAATAAAGCCAAATGCAGGATTGGAAGGTGTTTTGTTTTGTTTGCCTTCTGTGCATTTGTCTCTGTGTTATCTGGTAGAGATTTATAAAGTGTCTAGGATTTTCATTTTAGGAGGCCTTCCTTCGGGAGCATTTTATTCAAAATCAGAGTACTGTTTTCAGCAATAGAAGACATTGAAGAAAGGATTCAAACTGACTTGGGATTCCATTTATGATCATTCTGACATTGTACTTTTAGTAAAAAGTTTCATAGTTTCTTTTAAAAACATATAAAACATGTTTCAGTAAAATCTGTTGATAACTATTGTAGGTAGTTGACTGCTAATCCATTACATCAGGAATTAATCATAATACTAGGAACAGGCACTTTTTCAAGCAAAATAAACATGGATATTTCATTTTGGATTTTAAAATGTCATAATATGTGAATTGCAAAAGCTAGGTTTTCCAGAATCTCATCATAAGACTGAATATAATGCAGTGCTACTACAGATTTACATAATTGTATTTACTGGCTTTATAAGTAATTTTTTAAAATATGTCTTTCAGAGACAGCATAAAAATTAATTCAGTGATATGAATACAATTTAAAGGCAAATTTTCGTAAAACATTTGATAAAGATGAGCGCGTAAATACTAACATGTTTTTATTTTGAATATATAATCACAATTTTGTACAGCAAAGTTTTTTTATTGCCAAAGCAATTTCATTTTTGTTAACAAACAGTGTTTACTCTAGATTTAAAAACCTAACTATTTAATCTGGACATCAAAAAGGGCCAAATTTAAAAACTCAGTTTCACAGTTGAATTTGTTTTTCTGAAGAGAGCTTTTTTAAAATTTTTTTATTAGTTTCAGGTGTAAAACACAATGCAATAGTTACACTTTTTACCCCTCAAGGTGACAACCCCTCTCCCCCAATCTGCTGCCCCACTCCCCTCTCCCCCCATATTATACATATCTATTACAATTCCCTTGACTCCACTCCCACACTAGACTCCACATCCTGTGACTATATATATATTCAATTATAGTTGACATACAACATTATACAACATTAGCTTCAGGTGTACAGTGCAGTGATCAAGCCTCTACACTGTCCATGAAGTGATCTCCCTAACAAGACATGTGACCATCTGACACCCTACAAAATATTTACAACATTATTAAGTATATTCTCCGAACTGTCTTTCATGTCCTTGTGGCAATATTGTAGTTACCTATTTATGCTATCTAATCCCTTCCCCTTCTCCCTCATCCCCACCCACCTCCCAACTAGCAACCATCAGTTTTTCCTTTGTATCTCTGAGATTATTACTGTTACTTTGCTCGTTCATTCAGTTTTTTAGATTCCACATATAAGTGAAATCATATGGTATTTGTCTTTCTCCGACTGACTTATTTCGTTTAACATAATAGTCTCTAGGTCCATTCATGTCATTGCAAATGGTACGATTTCATTCCGCTTATGTACCACAGTTTCTTAATCCAGTCATCTACCGATGGGCATTTCGGTTGTTTCCAAGTCTTGGCTATTGTAAATAGCGCTACAATAAACATAGGGGTGCATATATTTTTTCGAATTAGCATCTTGGGTTTTTCTGGATAGATACTCAAGAGTGGAATTGCTGGGTCATACGGTAGTTACATCTCCAGTTTTTTGAGATACCTCCATACTGATTTCCATAATGGCTGCACCAGTCTGCAGTCCCACCAACAGTGCACCAGGGTTCCCTTTCTCCACAACCTTGCCAGTACTTGTTTGTTTGTTTATTGATAGCCATTCTGACTGGAGTGAAGTGGTATGAAGAGAGCTCTTGTTGTTCCTTTAAGAAAGGAAAGAGAAAGAGTGATGAACATAGTATGCTGGATATTTTGTCAAAGTTTGGTCATGTTCTTCTAGAGTATATGTAAGTTAAACTTTTACACTTGAATTTTAATTATTTACACGAGCTATAAATAGCACAATAAAATAAATTTTAACATGCTATTTATAATGAACATTTTAGAAAGCTCTTCATTATTTTTATTTCTAGTTTCAGGTGTACAAAACAATGTAATAATTAGACATTTACACCCCTCACAGATGGGTACTTGTCTCATTAGGGAGACCACTTCATGGATGGTGTAGATGCTTGATCACTGCACTGTACACCTGAAGCTGATGTTGTATAATATTGTATGTCAACTATAATTTAATATATAGTCATGGGATGTGGAGTATAGTGTGGGAGTGGAGTCAATGGAATTGTAACAACTATATACCATGTCAGAGGGGTAGTAGATTGGGAGAGAGGGGTTATCACTTTGTGAAAGCTCTTCATTTTTAAGCCCACCAGACCACTACAGATCTTTATAAAACATTTCTTCCTCGTGAGACACACAGTATGGAAAATTCAAAGAAAAAAAATAAAAGAAACATTTTTTTAAATAAAAATGTTTACAGAAATTAACACTAACTAGCTGGTATTTGCTAATGCATCCTTTGTTTTCCTTTCATCATCTTTAGTCTTGGTGCATTTTCCATGAATATCTAAAAAGCCCAGCCTCTGGTACTGCAAGCAACAGGAAATGACAGAATATGTTTGTTTTTATGGGTTCCCCACCCCCATTTTCTGAAAGCCAAATGAATTTTAAAATTGCTTTATGACCTATACTAACAGATTGTATCATGATACCTACAACATCATTAGATTTATTTTCAACCTTAAATGTCAGAAAGTCCATTATCTCAGGTTTTAAAAGTTCATACACTTACCAACAGATTCATAGAAACAGAAATCAAGCTGATGGTTACCGGAGTGGGTAGTTTGGGGGGATGGATGAAAAAAGGTGAAGAATATAGTCAATAATATTGTGATAACTTTGCACATTGTCAGTTGGTTACTAGACTTAGTATGGTGATGACATCATAAGGTGTATAAATGTCAAATCACTATATTGTACACCTGAAACCAATATAATAATGTATGCCAGCTATACTTTTAAAAAAAGTTCCTAAACTTACCAGTTATGTGGTTTGCAGTATTTGTTTATGAGACATAAAATGGATTCTCTTTTTTAAAAAAATACCACAGTAGTATTACCTCTTCAGATTTGAGGTTTATCCTTTGTCCTAAATCCATTGTAACATATGTTTATGTATTACCTTTAAAATTTTGTCTTCCTCTCTATGGTGTAAGCTCCATGAGGAAAAATAGTTGGTGCCTGTATTTACTCTGCTCCCTGGGACACAGCAAGCATTCAATTAATATATGTTGAATGAATACTCAATCCCTAAACAGGCTTCAGCGTATGTGTTTCTCTGGGGAAAAATTCTACAACTTTCATCAGATTCTCAAAGAGGTCAGTGATCTAAAACAGTTTAAGATTATGTAAGTGTCTACCTTTTACTTCTTGTTTTAGCTCTTTTAAAAGTTTAGGCTGTAAATAAATGCTTCCAATTTATCTGGTAAGAATTTTGTCACTTTATGCAAATATTTAAAGGATAATTTAGATTCTTGAAATGTTTTGCATGTAATTACTACAATCCCCTGTTGTATAGAATGTGATTTGTATCCGAATTAGTTCTAAGATTTTTTTTAGAGTTAAAACCAAACCTGAAAAAATATTCTGTATATATATATATATATATATATATATATATATATATATATATATGGATATAACTTTAGTTTTTAGTAATAAGATATAAATGTGTTCATGAGAATATTACTTTGTACACTTGATCTTTAATCTTTCATATAACCAGCTACTTCACAATCTGTGATTGTTATAATGAATGTGTTATTTGTAATTAAAATATAGATGAAATATATTCAGGGCTTAAATACCAATTTTTTTACTTAAGCACATTTAAAGGCTCCCCTGGTCCCAAAGATCTTCAGGCCCAGAATTTTTTTTAATTGAGTATAATTGACATAACTTTATATTAATTTTAGGTTTACAACATAATGATTTAATATTTGTATAGTGAAATGATCACAATAAGTGTAGTTTACATATGTCCCTATATATAGTTACAAATTGTTTTTTCTTTTGATAAGGACTTTTAAGATCTACTCTCAGCAACTTTCAGTTACGCAATACAGTATTATTATCTATAGTCACCAGGCTGTACATTACATCTCCGTGACTTATTTTATAACTGAAAGTTTGTACATTTGCACCCCTTTCACCGTTTCACTCACACCCCTCCATCCTAGGTTTATGGGACTCAATTGGGATTGGTGGCAATAACATGGATTCTAATTCCCCTAGTATTTAAAGGGTACCCCCCCCTTCCATCTTGGTTGATTTAAGGGATAAAATTCACCAAATTTATTTTAATGGATAGTGTTATTTTTGCTCATTTCTGATTGCAATGCTGTGATAATGCTTTTAAAATAGTAAAAGTAAAAATACTGAAGTGATACTTCCTTAAAATTTTCTACTCTGCAAAATGTTTCAAATAGCTTCACAAAATAAATACTTTAAAAATATTTTCTCTTGGCAACGTATTACCAAAATTCTATTTAGTCATTGACACAAGCTGTAAATTTTAAAAATTAACATAACTATATAACTTATTTTATAAATATGATTAATCAATTATAAACCCAAATATAACATTTATGTCTGAAATATTTTTCTGCCTATCCTAAAAATAGTCTACATTTTCCCACTATGCTATATATATTAAATGGGTGATTATAGAATTATAAGTATTTTATACATATATGGGATCTTAGAGCCCATGTA